GCAATAATAACAAGCCTTTCCCGACACGAAAAGCATTAAAAACTAGGATCCACACACTTCAGTTCCTCTTTGCAATCGAAATTCGAGATTTGATTAATAAAGACAAGTGTCGCGTCTTTTTTCTTTTTCTTTTTTTTTATTTATTTATTTTTTTTTTTATTTATTTTTTTTTTTTTTGAAGTATGCCTGATCTATATAGTTTTGTCGTCACCGATTTATAAGTATCCATCCGTCCTTTCATTTGCGCGGAATCAGTTCAGGCTCATGCACCTTCGCCCTCGTTCTCCCGATCGCGTCCGGTCCGGTGTCCCCCCCCCCTCCCCCATTGTCCGAAAAGCTGACCGGGAGCGGAGACCGACGCTGGGGAACCGGTGGCCGGGAACCTGCTTCTTGGGATCTCTTCCTGCCGCTGTGCTTCTGGTTGGGCTCCTCTCGAGGCCGTAGGCACCTCGCTCTTCTCTTTCTTATGCTGGCTCTGCCTCTGTCGGTCCGTCTGCCCTCCCCCCCCCCCCCGTCTCTTCTCTCTCTCTCTCTCTCTCTCTCTCTCTCTCTCTCTCTCTCTCTCTCTCTCTCTCTCTCTCTCTCTCTCTCTCTCTCTCTCTCTCTCTCTCTCTCTCTCTCTCTCTTGCTCTCTCTCTCTGCCTATGTATCCCTGCCTATGTCTCCCCATTCTCCCGCTCCATCCTCATCATCCACCGCCATCGCAGGAGGAAAGGAGGACAGAGGGGAAGGTAAGAAGAAAATTAAAAAAAAGAAATAGAGATAAGAAAAAAGAGACGGAAAAAGAAAAGTCTCTCCTCATTCCATGCAACTCATCACATTCTTTTATTTTTTGGCTCCGTGTGCGATAGAGTTGGATTAGATGGTAGTTTAAGACCTCGGCAAACTTTTTACTCTTTTTTTTTCTTCTTTCTTTCCTTTTTTCCCTCGAAAGCTTGTGAGGGCGCGGGGTGGTGGGAGGAGGAGAAGAGGGAGGATGAGGGGAGGGGGTAGGTTTTTTTCTAGTCCCTCCCCTCACCCCACCCCAGCCCACCGCCCACCCCCGCCGGAAGTGGATGAAAACACCACAGGCATTTTTTGGGGTGTAAACTTGAGCATCTAGAAGTCTTTACCCGCGAGGAGGGGTGGTACTTTTTGAGCCCCTCTTTTTTCTCTCTCCCTTTTTCTCTCTTTATTTTCTCTCCTCCCCTTTCTTTCTTTCTCTATTTTTTTTTACTTTCCTTTCTCCCTCTTTTTTTCCTTGGGGATGGAAGCCAACTTTTTTTTGCATTTATATTTTTCATTCATGGCGGTTTTTATGTGAGTGAATGTGAATGTATTTTAGCTTTATCCCCTCAGTTTCTGGAACATAGAATATTCGAATTGGTTTTGCTTGTTAGGTGGGAGGGAGAAGGAGAGGAAGGGAGAGAGAGTGAGAGAAAAAGAGGGCGAAGGAAAGGGAGAAATCTAGTTAACTGTGTGGCACTTGTTTATGTAGTTATGTATCTACACTTCTAATTTGTGTATCTATTTGAAAAATACTGTTAAATGAACTTATATATGTAGTACTCTTACACACCCATACGCACACAAACACAAATACACGCACTCTCTCTCTCTCTCTCTCTCTCTCTCTCTCTCTCTCTCTCTCTCTCTCTCTCTCTCTCTCTCTCTCTCTCTCTCTCTCTCTCTCTCTCTCACACACACACACACACACACACACACACACACACACACACACACACACACACACACACACACACACACACACACACACACACACACACACACACACGTACAGACGCTCCCCTACACCCAAAGACGAACAAGCAGACAGCCAGCGCGCCGGACGAGGCCTTGTGTCCAAGCCGTTGGACTCCTTTCCTTTCATCGACGCAAGATGCGGTCACGCCATTTTTCCTTATAAGGAGAGCAGGTAAACAAATAAACAATTTCATCTCCTATTTGTCGAGGGAGGGAATGACAGGAGGCGGAGGTCTGGCCGAAAAAATAGCCAACGTGTTTTTAAATCCCTTTGTGAAAAGAATCTCCGCATATTTTTAATACTTTTATGAGCAATAGTTTTGAGAAAGTTGAAAGGGGAGGAGGGGGAAGGGGAGGAAGAGGGAGAGGAGGAAGAGGGAGACTGGAAAGGGGAGACGAAGAAGGGAGAGAGAGAAAAGTGCAGAGAAAGGGGGATAGAAAATGGAATAGAAGAGCTAAGAAGGGGGAGGCGAGAGCAAGGGGAAGAGAGAAGAGGGAAAAGATCGGGAAGGGGGAGGGCATTAGAAGAGAAGAGAAAGGGGAGACTAAGAAAAGAGGACAGGGTTAAGGGAAGGTAAAGAAGGGAGGGGATGCAGGGTGAAAGAAGAAGCAGGGAAAAGGGAGAGGAAGGGAGTGGGAGAGAGGGAGAAGAGAAGAAGGGAGACAGGAGAGAAAGAAGGAGAGGGGGAGAAGAAAGGAAGGGAGAGAGGGAGAAGAAAGGAAGGGAGAGAGGGAGAAAGGGAGAAGAGAGGGGAGA